ACAGATCTGCTTCAGTATGTACCTAAAAATAGGAAAGTTATAAATGGAAATATTTGTATGTGGTATGTGAGACAATGTAGTCTAATGACTAAAAACACAAACCAGACTTTGATAGTTATCCTTGCCCGGACATGGCCTCTTACCAGTTGTGTAACCCCAAGTAAACTGCATAATCCTTTACAGTCTGGTTTTCTCATCTGGAAAAAAATAAAATAAAGAAAAGAAAATCTAGTCCAGTTATTTGGGACATTTAGGAGGGCTTAAAAAGCAGAACTTAACCACAAATTAGTGATTAACAGAAGTCAACTAAACAAAATCCAGACAGATGGTGACTGCCAGGCTGAGGAGTTCCCTTGGGGCATTTACCACTAATTTACGTAGCCCTAGAGAGATAAAAACTGGTCAATCCAGTGATGTTTCTAGAAAGGTAAAGTGGGAAATTTGGTTAATCTCTCAAAATTGTTCTAAGAGCATACAACAAATAGAACAACATTCATTTAAAAAAGTCTACTAAATCCCAGAACAATGAGAGCCTGTGGCATTTGGGCCATGATTTGCTCCTCTCCCCCACTCCTACTTTCACATTATAGAACTCTGTTATGGGGTACTCTATTACCAGGAAGTATAGCCAAGAAACTGGGAATGTTCTCTCACCTTCCGCCCCAGTTCTCAGTCTAGGGCTATGATTTCACCTTGAAAGAGCAGGCTACCGATGTTTCCCATTTCCTCAGAGCCCTTCCCACTAGAAGTCTTATTCTAGACAGACATGGACAAAAGAACTGATACACTATTCCCCTGCCCAGCTCCTCATTCATGGAAACTTTACATCAAGAGTTGCCAACAAAAATACTGGGACCCTGATTGTCCCATTTCAGTTCACTCACTGGTAACGACACACACTAGAAGCCACAAGCTAGCACCATCTAGGATATACTCTTGGAGAAACAAACAGGTCGCTGTCACTGTACCTAGCTCTTGTGCAATAGCACAGACATTTTCCCAGGGGAAGAGATAAATCATAAGGATGAAGAGCTCTGACGTTCGTACTGAGGTTAATGACTTTATTTGGAGATTATGGAGACTTTCATGACTAAAGGTGGTGTTGAAAATATGGAGAACAATTAAGGTCCTGGTATTTTTGTGATACTTCCTTGTTAGCAACAAGCAAAATGTCAGAGCAACCAGAAGTTTAACATAAAGAAGTACAGGGAGAGAAACAACTAAGTCAACTGTAGAGTTGGGAATGAGACACAGGGTATAGCAAAAAAAGTTTCAAAGCAGCTATTGTAAGCCTGTTCAAGGATGTAAAGGTAACAGTAAAAGTAATACTTCACTAATAAAAAAAAAATGTACCAGGTACCACAACAACAACAGAACTTTGCTGTTATCAGGATATTATTCTTCTCTTTGTTTTTTTGTTTTTGTTTTTTTAATGGAATGTGCTGAATGTCTATAATTTTGTTCAGATGACTGCAGAACCTGGAAAAGCTGTTGCTGCTATTGATGCATAATATACTGCTATTATTGGTCTTTTTATATAAATATAAATATACATTATATATGTATATATATATATATATATATAATTTGAATTTTTGGAAACTTTAACTGTGCTGTCAACTTTGGAAAAAGTTATCCCAATTTACTGTGTTGAGTTGGCATTGTACAGAAATTAACAGCCATATTTTTTTTTCATTTCTACAGGGGTAATGCACTGTATTAAATATGTAAGGTCATATCTATGTGGGTTTGATTACAGAAACTAATAAAGTATTCTCTAAATAATGAAAAAAAGAGAATAAGATAAGACTACAAGAGCAAGAAGCAACTTAAATATGTTCAAGGACCATTTTCATCTTCAGAATTAAGGATTATTTTAATGTTACATCATTGCCTTTTCTCTTTTACTTTCCTTTTTAGTTTTATTTTAGGATTCCATATTTTTAATGTTCATATAGAGATTTCTTTAACTGAAATACAGAATAGTTTCTCTGGTGTGATAAACTATAATAGTGCACAGGATCCTAATGAGATAATTAATAATGTGAACTAGGAAGTAAAGGGCTAAAGGTGTAGGGAAAGTGGGAAGGGTGGGGGAAAGGTAATAAGGGAGAGGAAAAAAAATATGAGAAAATGAAAAAAAAAAAAATGAGAATAAAGACCTATCATGTAAAGGGTACAGGATCCCCATGATGAATGTAACTGTATTGTATACCTAGATTGTACCAATAAACTCAATTAAAATTATAAAAAAAAGAATTAAAGGCATAATAACAATGTCTCATCAAATGGAGAATAGCAATAAAGAAAGAAAATGATTTTTTAATAGTAAATGGATATCTAGAGTTGGAATATATAACAACTGAAAATAACAATTTCGTGCAGATTTATTTGCAAGAGTAGATTTGAAGTAATGGAAGAATATGTGAACGCGATGATAGGTGGATAGAGCTGTGCGATCTGAAAGAGAAGAGAGATGAACAAAGCCTCAGAGAAATGTGGGACATTATGAAACATACCAACACACTCACAAACATAATACCAGAATAAGAGGTAAAAGATAAGAGAAAGGCAAAACATCTGTAAAATTATAGCTGTGAATGTCCCATTTTGATGAGAAACGTTAATCTGTACAACCTAGAGTATTTTTAAAAATTCACCAAGTAAGATAAAAGCAAAGAGATGCGCAGTTAGATATGTCAGAGTCAAAATGTTGAAAGTGAAAAAGAAAAAGGAAATCTTGAAAACAGTAAGGGCAAAATAACTCACCATCTACAAGGGAACCCTAAAAACATTAACAGCTGACTTCTCATTAGGCATTAGGGGGTCGAGGAGGCAATGACCAGCCTGGGCAACTTAGTGAGACCCTGTCTCAAAATAGAAGCAAATGACAAATAAAAAAGGGCTGAAGATGTAGCTCAGGGCAAAAGTCAGGGGTTAAAATCCCAATATGAAAGGAAAGAAGGAAAAAGGAAGGGAGGAAGAAGAGAGGGAGGGGGCAGAGGAGGGGCAGGGGAGGGGAAAAGGAGCGAATGAGGGAGGGTTAACAAGTACACGGAAAAATTGTAATATATTGGCGCTGAGACTATGAAACGGTATAGCCACTTCAGAAAACCGTTTGTTAGGACCTCAACAAACTAAATGTAGAGTTACCAAATTACACAGCAGTTCTACTACCCCTTGGCATACACCCAAGAGAAACAAAACATATGTCCACACAAAACCTTGTGTACAAATGTTTATAGCATTATGAGACTCAAAAAGTGGAAAAGATTCAAAAACTAAAAATAATCTAAGTGTCTAGCAGCTAATGAAAATATAAATAAAATGTGGTACACTGGTGCCTCGGTTCACGAACTTAATTTGTTCTACAATTTGAAAAAAGATGTCTGTGTGGGAAAGATGACCACGATCATGTCTGTTACCCATAGCAGCATTTGCAAACAAAAACAAAATTTTGCCAAACACTGTTTGCAAACCAAATTGCTTGAAAATAAAAGCATTCATGAACCTGGGTACCACTGTAAATGCATAAATTGAATTCTTATTCAGCAATAAGAAAGAATGAATGCTGAACCATGCAACACAGATAAACCCAGAAAACATTATGCAACATGAAAGAAGTCAATCACAAAAGACCACAAAGTAAGTCATTCCATCTATGTGAAATGTTCAGAATAGGTAAACCTATAAAGTCAGAAAGCAGGTTAGTGGTGGCTTAGATCTTAAGGAGGTAGTAGGGAATAGAGGGCTTATTAAATGAGTAGGAAGTTTCTTTTGGGGGTGATAAAAATGTTCTTCAATTAAGTTGTGTCCTGGGAAATAGGAAGACAATATTCAAATGGGAAAGGGTACAAGAGAGGGAGAAGGGTGATAGGAAGGAAGGGAAGAGGAAAAAAAGAATAGAAGGAAAAACTGGAAACAAAACTTTTGTGAATACCAAGAACAGAGGCTGAAGGGAGGGGAGGGGATTGGAGAAAAAAGAAGAATCAAGATATATTATGTACAGGTACAAATCCCTATGATGAATGTGATTGTTATGTATATCTAAAGTGTACCAATTTAAAAAATGAAATTATTTTAAAATTTTAAATTTTAAAAAATAAAATATTTTAAAAATTAAATTGTGTCCTACAATCCAAATATTCTACAATTAGGTTGCACAATTCTGTAAATATACTAAAACCCTGTAAATTGTACATTTTAAAGGAGTGAAAGTAGTAGTACTTAAAATATATCTCAAAAGAGATTTTTTTAAAGTGGCAATCTGTTTCTTACTGTGAGAAAATGAAAAGAATAAAAGCAAATTAGGAAATTAGTCCATGAATACATTCAAGATTGATAGCTCACTGTTCACTGATTATTTACCCCGATCCAGACATTTATGTTGGTTGATAAAGCCAAGCCAGGGTGCCAGTAAGTAAAGGTAGAACTTGACCTTTGATGATTCCTTGAATTAGCAATTTCTATAAAAATAATAAACTCAAATTGATTCATTATGCAGTTTCCATTCCTCCTTTAATTATCTAAGAAAATCTCCACATTGAGAATACTTGGAAGAAGTCAAAATTTTTGAACCTTGTTTATGTATATTTTAATTCTTTACAAAATTACACTAATTCCTGCTAGATTGTAATTATTAAGTCATGGGACTGATTAAATGTCATGAACCAGTAGCTATAGATTCTCCATTAATATGTGACCCATTAAAAATCAGGCTTTTTTTTCAGTAAAGAATAGATTAAAGGGGGCCAGGGATTTAGGTCAGTGGTTCCTCCGCCTGCCTCACAAGCACAAGGATCCCTGGTACAAAAAAAAAAAAGAGAGAAAGGAAGAAAAAAGGAAAAGAATATAAGTTTAGAGAACTCATTAAGCCAGTAGAGTGGGAAATCGTTATATTTTCTTTTCTATCACCCAAATTATAACATGCATGTTGTAATCAGTTACTACATGACATTAGTTGTATAAAGTACACAACAAACTGGGAAGACAAATAATACCTTCTGGGGGTGTCCCAATGCTGCTGCCAAGGCCCAAAATGGCCATCCTGTGAATTCTTGGGGCCAGCATCACAGCAGACTCTTCTCCCCTTTCCCAGTGGGGGATTCTGACCGGCTCCAGGTGGACATTCTCCAGCCCATCTTCTTGCAGGTTTTTGTACATGATTTGGATGGCTTTTTCTAGGTTCTCGGAGCCACTCAGTCTGGGTCCAACTGTGTCAACCAAAAGTGCCAATCTCTCATAGGACCGGTTCTGGTATTTACCGTAAACAGCAAGGTTGATAATTGCTTTAGCAACATCTTTATAGCTGGCTATTTCTTCTTTTATTTCTTGAAAAGTCCTCTGAGAGATGTCATTCTTGTATATAGTTTCCCCACAGCCCAGAGACAAAAGGTGAGCAACACCGACACATGTGAAGATAAGGAACTTCATTTTTTTTCACCCACTGGTTTTCTTCCTAAAATAATCTATGTAAATAAAAAAAAAGTTTTAGGAGAAAGAATCTCACAGTTACCTGCCCATCGTTGAGGGACTGCTTTTCAGAAAGCATTCCTTTTCTCTTCCCAACCACTGCTCAAACTCCCCCATCATATTCAGACACCTTAACTCCCAGAAATGATAGGTAAAAAGGCACAGATTGGCCTTATGAATGAGGCAGCTTTTATTAAAACCACAAATGCACTTGTCACCCAGTGAGCCTACCTACTAAAAAGATTAAAATAAGAAGAGAAGTAGGAAGGGGAAAGTAGCGGTAGCAATGACAGGGCCATCGGTGCTTATGTAGCAGAACCCTCTAACTGTACCACGATCCAATTCGGTGTCCATGCTCTTTCCTCTACCTGGTGTGCTCTCTCCTCTCTGCCTAGTGACCCTGTTCTCTGAGCTCCCTTCAGATGCCATCATTTCTTGATACTTTTTCTAATCCTCTTTCCACCAGAAATAATGATTTTTTCATCTGTGCTCCCAGAATATTTTATGCTTGCATTCAAAAGATATTTGTTGAATGCCAACTATGCACCAGAGATTGTAATACAATTTTAAAAGGAAAAAGTCTAAGCTAATACAGAAAGCAGAGAATTAATAAAAAGACTGGATTTTGTTAGCTTTTAACTGTGTGATATCCGTGGCCTACCTGATAATAATGAAAATAACACATTTATACAGTATGTATCAGACATCGTTCTAAGTACATTGCATTCATTAACACATTTAATCCTGATAACAACCCAACTGTAAAAGGTAGTTTATTGTTATATTGGCTTTATTTGACAAACTGGGAGTGGGGCACCAGCTCTGAGAGATTAAATAACTAGGACCCATGCTCTAAACAGTGCTACTCAAAGTATGCTTGAAAATGAATCTCAGTCTACAAACTGGTTTTACTGATCCACCATCAGAAAAAACAAAGATTAAAGGAAAGAAGAGAATGGAATTAAAATGACAAAATGAAAAAAATAGAAACAAAGTCTTTGTAGATAGGAGGGAGGGAGGGGTTAAAGGAAGGGTAGGACAATGGGGAAAAAATAAGAACCAAGATGCACTGTGTAAAGACGCAAATTTTGAACAATGAATGTCATTATATTGTAGACATTAAATGTACCAATAAAATTATTTTTTTTAAAAAGAGTATCTAGTGCTGCCCAATTCTGTAGCCAATAACCTTGTATAATTAGTTCGGCTTAAATTTATTAAAATTAAGTAACATTAAAGTTTCAATTCCTCAGTCACTAGTCACAGAAATAGTACTCAATATGTGGCAAGAGGTTGCTATACTGTGCTGCCTAGAGAGAGCATTTCTATCATTGTAGAACATTTCATTGGCTTAGACACTTTTGTGAATTGTGGCTATGGTGTGAATGTTTGTCTCTTCCATTTAATTGCCATGAGGGCACTGGACCCTAAAAGGAGTTTTGGTCTCCAGGGCTCTATCCTCAGAATCGAACTAACTCTGTTATCACGGTGTTGGGTTCAGTATCATGAGCATGAGTTTGCCTCCTCTTTCTCTCTTTCTCTCTTTCTCTTGCCTTCTCTTGTTCTTCTGCTATAAGAGGCCTCTTGTTGTATTATAACACAAGAAAGTCCTCATCGGCTGTGACCTCTTGATCTTGGACTTTCCAACCTCTAAAAAAGTGAGCCACTAAATTTCTGCTTATTATTAATTACACAGTCTGCGCTCTTCTGTAACAGGAGCACAAAAATAGACAAAGACAGCATCTGTCAAGGCTAATAATTGTAAAATGGTGCCTTTATTTGTATGTCTTTATTTCATTTTTCTAATTCACTGTTATTATATTTTTGAAAAAATATCAGTCTATAACAAATTCAAAATTTAAAAGTGAGTCGTGCACCACAGACAATTTCAGAAACAAGTTAAAAACCACTACATTATTAAGAGAATTTTCAAATTTCTCTGGTATACGAGGAAGGCCTTTCCAAAAATGACACCAACAACTACTTAAACTTCATCTTTCCTCCTCCTCTTCTAGAGCACATTCAGGTTCTGTCACTCCCTCCTGGCCCTCTCTCTCTCTCTCTCTCTCTCTCTCTCTCTCTCTCATCTAAGCTTCTAGATATTGACTACTTAAAATGAGGCTAGTCCAAACTGAGACATTTTCATTCTATAAATAGCGTAAAATATACACCTAATTTGATTTTAAAGGCTTAAGTATGAAGAAAGATAAATATTTCAGATATATGGGGTTAAATAAAATACATTATTAATTTCACCTATTTCTTTTTAATATGACTATCAGAAAATTCTAAATTATACACACATTGAATTGGACAATACTGTCACAGCTACAATGAACTGCACACTGTTCTTCCAATTTCCAGGCCTTTTCCTAACTTGGGGTCTCTACCTATGTTCATTTTCTTGCACCACAATCTCTCCAGACTATTCCTATCCTCCTGACAAATGTCACCATTCATTCTTTATAAGAACACTTCAAAGCTCAGCTGTTCTGTGGTGCCTGGCCAAACAACACCCCAGAGTTGTCTACACCATCCCCTGTGCTCCCCCATGGCTGCTGTCATCAGCTTCACCTTTGTTTAGAAATCTGTCTCACCTACCCTGCCAGTCAAATAAGCCACTCCACCTTTCAGTGCTATCCCCAAATATAGGTACCCAATACATTTTTATTGAAGATGTCTCTGAGCCTTTACTTTTTCTAGGTTTTAGCCTCCTTAGGGAATTAGAGTTGCGGTGCCTCCTTCACAAAGAAGCTGCAGGAATAAAAACTTCCCATTATATTTTGAATAATTATGAAAATTATCCATTGGCACTGCTTTCCTTTTATTACAACTGTTTACATGCATAAGTTCTTGGTTTCTATGGTTACCATACAGATGCTTGGTTTTTAAAGGTTAAATTTTATTAAGCAATCAAAATATTTCACCAGATCACACTTTAATTCTGAAAATATACTTTTCCAATGTTGTATTAGTGCAAAAGGAATGAAGGAAGAAGGAAGAAAGAAGGAAGGAAGGGAGGAAGAGAGGGAGGAAGGGAGGGAGGGAGGGAGGGCAGGAGGGGGGGAGAAAAGCCCACAGCCATGTATTCATTAACATTAACTACAAGTATGTACTTATTAAAGTTCTGCAAACATTAATTAAGTTTTTGCATACATTTCTAGTGGTACATTGGAATCATACAACAGTAACATTACAGAGCTAAAGGTGAGCTTTAGGGACTCCTAGTCCATAGCCCACTTTTATAGAAAATCAAGGAAGGCCCATATTGCGATTCCCAGGCAGCTGAAAAACTAGAAACCACAATCAACCAGGTAACTGGACTGACTGACACAGGCTTTGCGGAGGATTATAAAATTATTATAGAAAACGGTATACATTTATATATAATAGAAACTCAATGAGGGATGTTTAAATGCAACCCGGAAAGTGAGTAACTACAATGATATATGTATGTTAAAACAGACTTATCCAGAGAGTACCAAGAGAACAAGGAGAAGAACAAAGTGGACCCTAAAAAGCTATAGAGATGATAAGACAGCTGAAGACAGCCTCCAAGAATGGTGTATCAGTAGGGAGAGAAGAGAGATGGGGTCTCTCCCAGAGGGACCCCAGAATATCAGCTTCACACTATAGTCTGATTGAAAAACATGTCCAAAACACAACAGTGCCTAAGTCTATCATTTTATATCCTTTCCCATGTATGTTACTTGTATTAACACATAACATGCCATTTGGATAAAAATAACGCCTCCTAACATGGTCAATTAAATTAATTTTGACACTAAAATGATGCAATTACTCTGAAAGACAAACTGAATTTCACAGATACCTGAGAGTGTTTGTTGTTCTGAATAGCCTGCCTCATCTGTGTCTTCCAATCCTATAACATGTTCATTTGTAAAAGCAGGTTACTTTAAAATGAAAGCTTGTTATGTTTTAAAGGATCAGTTTTCCTGACATCAGCAATTAAAAGATTTGCTATGATTAAAGGCATAAAATGAAAGGTGCATGACAAGTTGCCCAGGACACCTGGCATAAGTAATGATGATTCCCGTTAGTTGAAAACCCACTTTTCTCTAGAACATGATTTGAATAATGTCTAACAGAGTTCTTTATTACTACCATTTTTAGAAAGTTATATTGGTCCATTTAAGAGACTTTTTATTGAGAAACAGTGGAAAATAATAATTATTATGAATAGCCTGTACTTGGAAAGGTAACAAAATTGGAACAAGATATTGATGTATCACATCCACTTAAGAAAAACAAGATACAATATAATATGCAATTTTAAAACACTAGGACTATAACCCAATATATCATTTGTATATTCTAAGAAACACAGACCTATCATATAAATTAAAATATTGAAATATGTAGACAGAATAAAGTTTGACGAAAGCCAATACTCAAGGGCTACTTGAACTCTCCTAAGGCACAAATTTAGGATCATCATGCATCAAAAAAATTCATTCTAGACCTGAAGTACAAAGGAGGAGGACAGTTAGAGACATCAGTTTGCTTGCCTGAAATAACTAAAACACTTGCCCTCTTTCATCACCCGCTTTCCAGTGAAAAGATCAAGTCTTAAGTAGAAATATTTTAGTGCATCAAATAAAGAAGCATTTTGGGTAAAATGTAAATAGATTCGGTGAGCAAAACTGTAAATATAATACTGTTCCAGGAGATAGACCTAGACAAATTTTAGGAAAATCAAAATGTTAAACCTTACACAGTTATTATAAACACTTATAATTTGTTTTTCAAAGAAAAGGAGAAAGTCAGATAAAGTCAAAAATGGCACAGTAATTAGAAGCCAAACCCTACCACAAGGCATTGACACAATACTGACCCAACTAAAGTTCCCTAAGGGGTCAACAGGAGGCTTTGCTGACCTGAAAAACTGTTATTTCAAAATACAGTTTCTGTACAGTTGAGCGAAACTAAGCCAGGTACCATGGTATTTCTATAGAATCTACAAAGTGAGAA